CTATCTTTTGTTTAGTATTTTCTTTTACGGCTTCTATGGTTGTTCTTCAGCTGTTTATTTTAGTATTTTTGCACCCTTTGGATGAGTAAAATTGGAAGAGACAAGATCTTGAGACCGTTGAAGCTTAGGTAAATGGACAGGAGTTTGATGGGCTATGAATCAGAGCCTTTTGTGAATAAAATATTTAATTGATATACTATTTTGGAGTGGTGCATATTTGGAGCTTAAAGTATGTCTATGTTCAAAGGTTTTGCACTACACCCTGTAGGCAATTGTGAAAATCTCCTCAATATTAGGAAAAAACTCCTGATGATTTACTTGGAACATTGTGAATTGTCTTGGATGAGAGTAGCTTCTTTTGTAGAAATAGCAACAAAAATATAGATTACAAGCCAAAACGAGTAATCAAAAGGACAGCTGCAGTGTTGGGCTCTTCTACCCTGTCTTAGTAAGGCAAAATAATGCTGCTTTTGCAATTAGATAATGTGATCCAGAGAGGAGATAATAATTTAGACATGATAACAAAGGATGTGATACATAATTTCCATAGCGGTTACTTTTTTCTAATGGTCAAAGCTTTTGTTAATATTTTTTATTTTATCTTCTTACTGTTTAATTTGCTTGTGGTATCAACTGCAGAAGACGGATTGGAAACTTCATCGTCTTGAATGCCAAGTGTTGTCTAAAGTTGAAAAAGGGAGGATTAAGTCTCTCACACCTTCCATACGATTAATGGTGAAGCTCTATTTGCGAAGAAAGCTGCAAGTTGAGCAGGTGAAGTTTTTACCTCTTGGTATTCACCTCAATTGTTTTAGAAAAGGACTCAATATATGACTATAATTGCACTTGTTCATAGTTGTAAGAGCTTTGTCTCAGTTTTGGGCTTATATCAAGATTCAATACCTTTTATGCTCTCTACCGTGGTTTATATTTGGACTCAATACGCCACCAGAATGCTATTTTTGAGCTGTAGCAATCTTTTGCATGCTGACAATGTTGTCTCCTTTGAACTGATTATCTGACTCTTGAAGCACTATATATAGTTCTCAATACAATCCAGCATTTTACTTTCAATTTCTTAATTAACTAGTTGATGCGTGCTGCACTGTGGCTTATTTTTTTCTAGTCCTTTTTTTTTTATTTCGTGTCCTAAACATTTTCCTTTTCCTATGTTATTGTAAATTGATTGAATGGATCACGTAGTAGATTTCTTCTTGCAATTCAATAAGTCTCACTCACTCACTCTCTCTCTCCCTCCCCCCCCCCCCCCCCCCAAAAAAAACAAAAAACAAAAAAGGCGACACACTTATTTTATGCATCGGTTACATATAACATGGCATCTCTTGAATATTGAGCAAAATCTTTGTTTCACATGTTTCTTGACTTTGCAAAAGGTATTGTTACCGATATTGGTAAGAGAAACTTTAATTTTGTGAAATAATACCGATTCACTTTGTAAATGGTCTCCTTTTCACAATTTGTATAAAATCTAAGCATTGCATGCTGACAATATGGTCATCTTGAACTGATTGTCTGACATTAGAAGCACTGTAGTTCTTGATTCAGTCCAGTATTTTATTTGCAATCTCTTAAATAACTAGTTGATGCATCATGCACCGTGGTTGTGTCATGCACTGTGGCATCTTTTTCTTGTTTTTTGTTGTTTTTGTTTCTTGGTGTTGTGGATTGGTTGAATGGAATAGGTATTAGATTTCTGCCTGCAATTGAATGAGTCTCTCTCTCTCTCCTCCCTGTAAATATGCAGACACATGTTTTTAATACATCATCTAAATATCACGTGGTATATCTCAAATATTAGAACAGAATCTTTGTTTCACATGTATCCTGACTTTGCAAAAGGTATTGTTATTGAATCAAATCAATTGACTCTGTTAATGATCTCTTGTATTTTCGCCATTTCTATGAAAGCTTATTGAATAAAATCAATTGACTTTGTTAATGAACTCTTGTATTTTCAGCATTTCTATGAAAGCTGAGTACTTGAACATGAAGGGATAACCTTCAAAAAATAGATATTTCCGCAGTTGAGAATTATTTGTATAAATCTTTGAAAATTTGCTGATAGGAGTTGAACAGGATTTGATATCCATAACTTTCCAGAGGATCTATTTGTAATTTTTACATCTCAGGTTCACACACAAATACCGTTCAAATATTTTCTGTAGATTACTTTCCATTAAAATTATTATTGTATACATGTTACAGTTGGATGTTCATGATGTCCATAGCTTATAAGGTTCAAATGCATGAGTTGGTGAGATTTTACACCAATGGGCCTTTACAAACTACATGGGGTTTGATTTGAGAAAGACAAATAGTTAAATCTTTTTGAGATGCATTCTTGCTCGTACCCATCTCAGCCTGAATGTCTTTGGTTTGTTGACTTAGTTCTGAAGAGTTAGAGAAATATGAATAGTTGATCTTTTTGAGAATCATTCCTGCTCATACCCATCCCAACCTGAATCTTTGGTTTGTTCACTTATTTCCAAATATTTTTTGAAATAATCATATCACTCAGTGCTCATGTCACAAAACTGGAGGTCGTTCTTGTCTTTCCCATCCTTCCTAGACATGTAGCACCAGCAATAAGGATAGTGCTGCTGCCATTTTGGCTACCAGAGTGACATCCTTGCTCCTTACCATACAAAAAAGTGCTGCCATTAGAGGGACTCTCAACTTTCAGATTATTTTCTTGAATAGTCCATTCCTCCTGTTTCCAGCCATGCATTTTTTTTTTCACAGCTTTTTGTAGGAACTATGTATAATTTTCCACCTTCACTATGTGATTTTTAACCTTCTTAATCTATTTAAATACTGTTAATGTGCCTTCTAGGTTATAGCAATGACTTCCACAGACAACTACGGCTTGGTGGAGGCTTTGGTCTCTCGTATCCTTCTTTGTTTTAAGTTCAGTTTTCAACTTGACATCATTAGCTCTTGGCATTTTATTAAAACAGGCTTATCTATTTTGTTTTGTTCTGCTTCTTCCTTGACAACTTTATACATACATGTCTGAAATTGATGAGAATCAATTGGTTTTATATGCACAAATGGCGAACCTTGTTAGTTTAATTCTCCAATGGCCCGAGGCCAAGATCAACATAAAGGACATTGCAGTAAATTTTTCTAAGGTATCTTCTTTGATCATTTGTCATGAGCAAACTATTTTTCATGTATTTCAAAGACCAGTCTCTGAAATAGTATCCTGAACAGTAAAAATTTGAATACACGCACTCCTGTACCAGATGTCATACATTCTGATTAGAATACACAGAACTACTGTTTCATGGTTTGCTGATTTATGACTAATCTCCCTAAGTAAACAAATTAGAATGGCACAGGGTCTTTAATATGCAGCACCGAAACCAAACTAATCAGCAGCTATTTGAATTTATGTAAGGACAATATTTTTTTAAGCAATGGCCAAGTTTGTGGACCAGCAACATTATAACTCTTAGAATTAGAGACTCTGCTAGATGAATTTTTTTTTTTTTTTAAAAAAAAAAAACTTGTTGCCCAACAGAGTGGGAATTTATTTCTGAGAATTGGCATTGTTTAAGCTGCCCAGGAGAGTTGATGCATAAGATTTTAAGGACAGACAAACTTGGAAATCAGAGTACCTTGTATCAAACTGAAACTTGCTGTCTAAATTTTGACATACTATGGTTATTATAAATTTACTACTAGTAACTCTGGCAATAAAAGGGCAAATAAATAAGTTATCGATGCAGAGCCTATAGATGAAATTGTGAGATTATTTAGCATAGAACATACTTAAACTGATCCTTCAGAAGAGTACTCAAACTGCATATCTGCTGTTTCAAATTGCTAAATCAATTTTATAAAACCTTGCCAAACGAGCTCATTTGTTTTGGTACTTGAGCTTCTGCTTCTCTTCTGATTGTCTCATTATTTTCTGATAATTTCATCTGCCTTTGTGGTACCTTTCTTCTCTTCATCTTGCTTCAATCTGTTTCTCTTAAGTGGATGGGTTTCAGTGAGAGTTTCTTAATATCTTATTCTGAATACAAATGAACTAATCAAGTTCTTTGGAATGAACATAATTTATTAATCAACCTTATAATTTGAAGCAGTGTAAGCAACATTCTGTGACTGTCACAATTTTGCTTGGTTGAGAATATGTAAACTTAAAAAGATTCAATCTGATTATTTATTTATTTATGCTAGAAAACCCTTGGTGTCAATGAACTCTTGGCTTTTCAACATGCAGCTTGCTTGCAATGCACACACTATTTGTGATGCTGAACTCAGACCCTTGGCAACTGGATTGTATCCTGTTATTTCTCTTATTAATCACAGGTAACTGATTGAAGTATGTAAATTCTGCTTCAGCAGCTCCTCACTTCTGGTCTTTCTTTTGCAGCTGTTTGCCAAATTCTGTTTTAGTATTCGAAGGGAGGTTGGCTGTGGTCCGTGCTGTTGAGCACATACCCAAAGGTACTGAGGTAATATGCGTTAGTTTAGTTTCGTCATTTTAGTTTCATAGAAATGCTTATTGGTTTTACATTGGATGAAACAGAATTAATATTTTCGTAGGATTCAGATTGGATTTAGAAAGTTTATAGCTTCCTGAGTTGAAGAGTTTTAGAAAATTCACATACCTCACTAGTGGGAATCTGCCGGAAAAAGCTCAGATAGCAACATATAAGGTTTGATGAATCGAGTGTTGCCGATACATGCCCAGTACTAAGATGAACTATGGGAGTTAGAGTGTCACTGTAGATGCATATGGGGTAGTGTTATTAGCCACTATACTGATGGATGTGCTGGTAAAGTTCTATATATGGCCTAATATTGTATCATTAATGGATTCATGAGTGTTGAAGATATGTGATCTGATATTATGGAAAGATTTAATATTGTAAATATTAGGAAAGATTTGATTATAGTATCATATATTAATTAGGTATCATATGATTATAGTATCATATATTAATTAGGTAGCAGATTGATTTAGACTAGCATGATTTTAGGATCTAAATTAGGTTACACTTGTGTATATATATTTGTATATTGTGTAGTCCAAAAATATGAAGAAGAGTATTTTCTCTCCCTTTTTCTTACTTTACATGGTATCAGAGCTTCAGGCTCTGTTATCAGTTTGTCTTTTGACGTGACCCTATTGAGTCACTTTTAGGTCTTTCTTGTGTCCCTGTTGAGTTTGACGTGACCCTATTGAATCACTTTTAGGTCTATTATCAGTTTGTCTTTTGACGTGACCCTATTGAGTAGGGGTGGCAATTTTCGACACGACCTGAAAACACGACACAAACCTAACACGAAATTAATGGGTTTGGGTTGAGGTTTCGGGAATTCAGGTCAGAATCGGGTTGGACCCGATGAACCCGAAAAGAAAACAGGTCGATTTCGGGTCAACCTGTGGTGACCTGATATGACCCGATATGACCCGTTTACGAATTAAAAATAATTTAATAAACATAAAAATAATTTAATCTAACTAAACTAAGTTATTCTTTTTTTCAAATGCATTAATTACTTAATCCTAAATGAATTTATTTTAATTTGTGTGAAGTTGAAATTATTATATTTGGACAAATAATATATTATATTATTTTTTACTTTTATATTGTTTTAATTTATTTTATATTTTGTTTGGGATAAAACACTTTTACGGTGTTTAATTTATTTTAGATTTGGTTTGGAATTATTTATTTAAAATTTTATTACTTGATTATGTAATTAGTTTTGTGAGAAATTGATTTTATTAGAAATTACAGTGATAAATTAATAAATTAAAATTAAGTTTCGGGTCATTTCGGGTCGACCCGCCAACCCGTCAACCTGAAATTTTCGGGTTCGGGTCAGCATACCTGACCCGTCACGGGCTGACGGGTCGGGTTCGGATCGACAGATTTTCTGACGGGTTGACCCGAACCCGACCCGCCAACCTGATTTGGACCCGAATTGCCACCCCTACTATTGAGTCACTTTTAGGTCTTTCTTGTGTGAATTATAATGGCAGATATGAAAGGTAGTAGTAGAGAGATGAAAACAGTAATTTCTGATGTTATTCCTACAACATCAAAAATTACTGAACACAAATTGAGTGGAAAAAAAGTTTTTAGATTGGAGTAAAACTATTCGGATATATCTGCGCAGCATCGATAGAGATGATCATCTCACTGATGACCCACCCGTTGATGGAGAAGAAAAGACGGTTTGGCTAAGGGAAGATGCAAAACTATTTTTGCACTAGTCATGTGAGAACTGGAGAACAGTTAGCTGATATTTTCACTAAGCCTCTAAATGGTCCGAGAATTGATTACATTTGTGACAAGATGGGCATGATTAACATCTATGCTCCATCTTGAGGGGGAGTGTTGAAGATATGTGATCTGATATTATGGAAAGATTTGATATTGTAAATATTAGGAAAGATTTGATTATAGTATCATATGATTATAGTATCATATATTAATTAGGTATCATATGATTATAGTATCATATATTAATTAGGTAGTAGATTGATTTAGATTAGCATGATTTTAGGATCTAAATTAGGTTACACTTGTGTATATATATTTGTATATTGTGTAGTCCAAAAATATGGAGAAGAGTATTTTCTCTCCCTTTTTTCTTAGTTTACAACGAGCATTTGAAAAGATTCTTGGCCAACATATTCATGGAATAAAATATTTCATGGTGCCAGAGCATCTGGATTTTGACTAGATGGAAAGGTAGAAATCCTTGTTGCACCATTCCCTGTAATATCTGAAGAAGATGAAAATTTTATATCGCAAAATTGCTTATCAAACTTGGCTGGTTCTACTTTATTTGTTTCAATTAGAGCCCTGAAGCACTGTCCCCTAACAGAAAAAGGCATGGTAGGGGAAATTAGTTTGAAAGCTTTGTTTAGTCTTATATCCTTTTCTGGGAAAATCACTTTAATAGCTGGCATTAGGAAAACTTGGAACACATTGGATTATAAAGGCCAATACGCTCTTGGATGAGTCAGCAGAATGCTTTAGAGTTGCAGTTAAACTTGACAAAGATTAACCATGTAAAACTTCTACTTTTGGCAAAAGAAGATCGGCTTCACGAGCTAATTTCAAAAGTTATCTCCTTGTCAAAGTAGCTAGTATGATACATAGATTTTATGCTGGATGATCTCTACATAAAAAAGAAAGTAGTTTGTGTCCAAAATCCCAGGTCACTATAATACTTATGATGTATCTGAAAAACTGCAAGGACATGTTCACTAAAAATTTCTTTTTGATCAATTAGAACCGTCTTCAGAAAAGTACTTGTAGATTGTTACATCAATTAGGGCTTGATATCTCTCTTTCCTTTTGGTGTAATGTTTTTTCTGTTACTCTTCTATCATTTATTTGGGATATGAGAGAAAGTATGATTCAAGGAACATTTTTGACTTTGGTCAAAATTTCAGAGTTGGTGGCACTCTATTCCTTGATGTTCTTGAAGTGGCATATAAAATCCAAAAATCTTTATTCATGGTTTTCCTAGATCTCAAATCTAAATGTTTTAGGAAGGAAAAATAAAAACTGATATGCTTGCCAAGTTTGCAGTAATGTGTCAAAGAGTTATAGTCTTCTTTAGGCTGTTTTTGTCCTGAGATAGTCCCTCAAAGAATTGGGCTCTGTTTCCTGGACTCGACAGTTTGCTAGGAAGCACCACAGATACCGGGTATTGAGTCGGTTTGGATCTGGTGAAAGATGATTGGGGTTACTTTGACTTCCGATTCTATTCAAGCTTTAGCTAATGTGAAGGAAAACTGCTAGGAGAACTAGGCGATGCTAAAAGAGTGGAGTCTGGCAATGCTCCGATTGCTTTAGGATATGTATGCTTAATGGGTCATGTGAGAGTTGATAAGGATTGCCACATGTTATGTGATTGAAGTCTTATAGTCAGCAGAGTTAATATTTGAAGCATTTATCTAGGCTCCTGATGTTTGGCTAAAGTAATTAGTATAGGCTTAATTCGAAAAAAAAATGAATTGGGTATTTTGCTGAGAAAACACGCAAGAGAAAAAAGAAAAGGAGAAACTGCACAAATAATTATAAACTCCACTATCAAATTAGCAAACATATCTGGAAAGACAGGTAGTGTATATATATTTAGTCTATCTCTGGACCTGTTACTGACTCTTTGGCGGTGCCACTGTACTTTGATTGCAAAATAACGAGTTCAACACCTACACACGCAACAAACCCGACACTCATACTTGATTCCAGGTAAGATAGCTCATGGGGCATCCGGGGAAAATCACTTGAGTTTATTACTCATAGATCCCTTGGCCATGAGTCCAAGAACAGTGCAGTTGATGGAGAACAAGTTTTAAGAAAAGCACTTTTGTTTATTTCTAGGTGTAAATGGATTGGTTAAGTGGTCTATTTGCAACTCTCCGACCTCGATTAGTTATACCAGTTAGGAAAAATTGCTAAACATTCCCAATGCTCTTCAACTGGTTCTGGTTTAAGAGGTTAAGCCGTACAGGGTAACCAGACCCTATAAGGTTAATAGACATAGTCCAAAAATAAGATATATAAATATGTAAATAAAGGGAAAATTAAGGCATGAAATGTTAGTATTGGAAAAAGTAAGTTTGCAAAAATTGCACTATAAATTAGCATACATTTTGCAAAAAAAAAAAAGGACATGGAATGTTAGTCTTCAGAAAAGTACTCACAAATACTACAGTACCACATAATAGACATGTCCAAATTAAGGAGAAATTGCATTTACTGTGGAACAAATCTGCTTTCAGCATCATTGCTACCTGTATTCTACAATTTTAATAAACAACTTCATTCCTAAATACATCATTAATATGAAAATTGCAAAATGATGGAAGTATTCTTCTCCAATATAGATGATAGGTTCTCATGAGTTTAATATTATAGCTCTTGGAATTTCTAAAGTAAAGTAGTAAAAGTAGTAAAGTGTTTACCGTATTCTAATTTACTCTTCTGATCTTTCTTATAAATAAAGAGGCTTATGTTGTTCCAAATCTATTCTTGAATACAAGACATAGTTCAGTTTAAAGTGATTTTAGACCTATTCAGTACTTGTTTGTGTACTTAAGTTTAACTTTGCATGCATCTGCATGTGTGAAGTAAATTTTATGGAACATTGAGGAAGACCTAACTAGGTAGATAATTGCCTTGTTTGATGGCTATATAGGAATATGAGGTAAATTTTATAAAACAACCTAGATATCCACCCTGTTGCAATTCTATATAGGAATTTGAGAAATCTGCAACTCCAAAGAGGAAGATGCTCTGAACCATAATTTGTCAAACAATAAGTGAAAGATAAGAACCAAAATATGTTGTCAAATCTTTAGTTGTATTAAATCGTAATTAAAGTTTCCTTGCTTTTAATTTTCTGTGTGAACGTTCCATTCTTCCGCCTCTCTCTCTTTCTCTCATACACACACACATGATACAGGCTAATATATTTCAGCCTCCCAGATACATATTTGATCAATATCTACGGAGCAGTTTGTTTGAGATGAGATTTTATGTTTTTATTTAAATTTATACTTCTAACTATTGAAATTTTGATTCAGTTTGTTTGAGATGAGATTTTATGTTCTTTTTTTTTTTTTAACTTCTCACTATTGAAATTTTGATTCTCTATTTATGGATAACTTGCTTTGCTGGCTCTGAAGGTACTGATAAGCTACATAGAAACTGCAGCAAGCACTATGACTCGTCAAAAGGCCCTCAAGGAACAATACTTTTTTACTTGCACTTGTCCCCGCTGCATTAAAGCGGTATTGAATTTGCCTTTTCCTTCTAAGAATACCTTCGTTTGGAACTACACTTTTTGCTTGAATTCAGCCAATAAGCTGTATAATGTTCAGGGCCAATATGATGATATTAAAGAAAGTGCAATCCTGGAAGGTTATTGCTGCAAGGATAACAGTTGCAGTGGTTTTCTGCTCCGTGACCCTGGTAGATGTGATTGTGGTTAATATTTCTCCACCATTTCTGAAGCCCCTAACCTTGCTCTAGTCTGATGAGTTTTGTCTCGCATAACTTCCAGAAAATAGGGGATTTGTGTGCCAAGAATGCGGACTGCTTAGAGAGAAGGAAGAAATTAAAGACATTGAATGGGAAGTCAAATATTTGATAGAAAAAGCTTCCATGTGCTCCTCTGGAAGTATCCTTAGAAGTTTTTGGTTAGATTATTGTGCATTGGCAACATGATGCTGTGCTGATAACAGAATCACTGACTTTACATCTGAAAGTCCTTTTCCTTTTTCTCTTATTAAAAGATTGAAGAATGTTTTTCCTAACAAACTCTGTACTTTTGTCGGCCAACAAAGAAGTAGGGGATAGGGGGCTGGGAGAGTGAAAGGTCTACCATGATGATACAATGCTTGGGAAGTTTCTTGCAAACATTTGCTGTTCCTTTACTAGATTTAGATAAAATAGATGCTAGTTTGACGTACAAGGCAATTGAGAAACAACAGTTGGAGCTGTGCCATCCATTCTCGATTAATCTAATGCGGACAAGGGAGACTCTTCTGAAGGTATGGTGCAATGACTTGATCTTTCTAACATGCATCTACATACTTTTTTGAAGTTTGTATCTGTAAACCATAATTGGATGGAGAACCAGCAACTGCGGTTCAATTATTTACTTGGAACGGTAAGTTGTGTCCTTGCTGTACAAATATTGGTCTCATGATATTGGATCCTCATCCTTGTTTGTTCTCCATCGGAGTATGATTATCACAAGTGAAACACATTAAATCTTTTAGGGGAGATATATTCTGTTGATTAAATAGTAGTAGATTAATCTTTTACAGATATACATGGAGCTTCAAAATTGGAAAGAGGCTCTAGCATATTGCAGATTTGTTATCCCTATCTATGAGAGTAAGTAGCATCCAGGTAGAATTGTTTACCTCTTGAGTTGGTGGTTTAGTCTTTGTAGTTCCATGAAGGGCTTTGTGAAAGCTAGCACAGTTCTGCTGATCTTTATATTTGGTATATTGTGTTAATGATCTGTCATTAAAAAAATCATGCATATACTTGAGGTAAATATTACTTTTCAAACTTGTGATAGATTTTCTGATCTTATGAAATTGAAATTACCAAATGGGTCAAGATTAGTTGGATATATTTTCACTTCCGCTTTGGTACTGCATGGAGACATTTAATATGCCATGCATGATACTCTACATTATGTAAAAAAAAAAAAAAAGGAGATATGGACATGTATATACATTATATGTATATTTGTTTTCACCCGTGTGTAATGTGTATATAGAGATGCATAAATACGTGCAGACAGGCTTATGATATTGCAAACTGACACTTCTAGTTTTCAAGACAACCAAAGACTCTTGAAACCCTGCCAGAAGGGATTAAATAGGCAAAATGTAACAGTTATATTATGCTGCCAAATAGTTTAATCTGCTATTTATGCTAATGAGTAAAACAATGAGGAAGACCGAATGTTGCGTTAAAAATGAATTTGGTTTTGAGTATCTTAAAATTTTAGGAAGATATAATAAAGAGAAGAAATATATGAAGCAAGTGCCTAGCCACAGCTCTTATTGGTTTAACATTTTTTTTTTTGGGGCAGTTTGCGGTATTAGTTGATCATAAATTCCTAGTAGGGACTGGTAGGTAGTTTAGAATATGTATGAAGAAAAATGAATTGAAAAACCAATTATTCAAATCCATGTCTGCTATCTACCCTTTCAATACTGGTTTTATTGTCAATTCTGTCAGAATACCAGATCAAATCTATCAATAGAAGTGTTTAGAGTTTCCCATGGACTATCTATAATGAAATTCGGTTTAAATATGTATGGACTGATCATAAACTAGAAGGTTAAGAAAAAAAATGAAAAGCTTGAAATAGAATTATAAAAGACAAAGGGCACCTTCATTTCTCTTTGTATATAAAATTAAGTGGATTTAAAAAAATATGGATAGTGCTTTATAGTACTCCAGCAGAGAAACGAAATATGGTGATATCTCTGCTTATGAAGAATCAGTTTTATTCATTACAATTCTCAAAGGAAATCTATATCTAACTTCTTTTTATATTTGATTAGTACAAAATTGTTATTTACGCAGAAGAATATCAGTTTACTCTTGGTTTCTGTTCAATGATTGAGGAACTTGGGGACTTTGATCTTTAGAGAGTTGTATTTTGGGGATGGATTAGTTTTAAGTCCTACTTCTCTCCTTTCCTCTTTGCTACGTAGACTAATGAATTTTTACTGAGACATTTGTCAGCTAAGGACTCATCAGACCAGCTCTAACCCTATTGAGCAAATTCTTTCTTCAAACCCTGTCCCTCTCTTTAAAGTCATTAAACCGAATAGATGTCTCTCCATATTTTGGTATCTTTGACTATATTATCGTTATGCATAATTTATGAAATTAATGACTGAGATCTCCTACTAATAATAGCAGTGGCTGTTGGGCATTAGTTTAGTACATCCTGCACATTGGGAAGTGAAAGGTGAGAGATCAACCACCTGGCAATCTGACTTTGAATAGGAAGATTTTGTGGTAAGCAGTAAGTAATTAGAAAGGCGAGGTGTTAATGAAATTATGTTAGTTGTTTGATGTAAGGACAATGAGTAATAAATTATCATTTTAGCTGCAATTTAGCAATAGTCATGGTCCATAATCGTGTTGAAATTTGAAGTGGAAGCTGTATTTTGTTTGTGTCTGTTATTTAATTTAATAAAATTTATTTCCATGAGAATGTATCCATCTCATATGTTGGATCCAAACATTTCCATCAGGTTGTCTACTTAGATTTGTTATTGTACATTCAGCTTTTTGAACAATCTTTTTTTCAAATTTTGTTCTTTATGTTGGGTATGTTTTCTTCTAATGCACCATCCTGTTTCTTTAACAGGAGTATATCCGCGCTTACATCCTTTGGTTGGTTTGCAATATTATACTTGTGGAAAACTTGAATGGTTAGAACTTAACCTTTTGTTTCTTGTTTTTCCATTTGCCTTGAAGATCAGTCTGGTTATTTG